TCTGCTTGAATAATAGCATCACAAGCATTTAAAATGGAAGAAGAATTTATTGTTTCAGATATTTCTTCTTGCTCTTTTATCATGAGACTTTTGTTTAACAATTTCAAAATCTTTTATTGACTGTGCTATTTCTTTTTTTGCCCTTTCTTTTTTCAAAAGTGGTTGTTGGTTGTTTTGTGGGGTTTTGTTTTGGTTTGGTTTTGTGGTTTTTGGTTTGGATTTTTTTGTTTCTTTGTTGGGGTGAGGTTGGTTGGTTTGTTTTTCCCCAAAAGTACATTAAACTGTTTTTCACTGCGTAAGTTAACTACTACATCTACCTATTTATTTCCACTATTGTGGAAATTCATCCACAAGATGATCTTGCTTTTTTTTCTTGCCTGTGTATCATCTACCTGAGGCCTGCCTGTATCAACCTGAAAAGCCATGCTCTCTTCCATTTTATTGAATACAGTATAGGAAATCAGTACAGGAAACTGCCTTTGCTAGGGAGGACTCTAAATTTTTTTAAGTTTGAAGACAAGATTATATAAATTTAAAATACAGAACTAAAGCAGTTTTGTTGGTGTGTAAGAACATATGGGAATTTTTTCTTTTTGACTGGGTTTCCTGTTTCAATTGCAGCTCCTACACAGGCATGCACTGGCTGCCACTACCAAATAAAGGGGGATGGAATAAGCAGAGCTCTGTTCCCATTAAGAAGTCTTCTCATCCCCATACAAGGCAGGGATGGAAACTGGTCTACTAAGCAGGCAGGCTTCCCTCCTTGCTTCCCTTCTACAGGCACACCAGCCTGCAATGATACCCAGTAAAAGGAGATAGAAATACCGTGCCCAGGCACAGCGGTGCAGGATAAAACTGCTCCCTTCCCCCGACTCCCTTGCGGCCGTGGGGGCTGACGGGCCCAGCCCGCCCATCGCCCGGCTCCTCCTCTCCCGCGGCCCCGCCCGCACCTCGAAGGCCAGCGTGCCGCCTTCTGCTCGCCGCCATCCTGCTTGAGGTCGAAGGACTGCAGCGACGGCTCCCCGGCGCGCAGGCGGGGGAAGGGGGCGGGC